ATCGGTATCTTGAATTGTGAAACAAAAAAGTCCTATATTTCCGTCACGTATTTTATCTGTTTGATTATTATCAGGCAATTTACGAGAATTTAGTAGTACTGCCCCTTAGAAAGGTAATTTATCTATGAGTTATATGTGATATATTTTTTATTATACTTTAATTTCACGCGACGAAGTCGCCAGCTACAGCTAATATTAACAAAAACCGTATTCATCAAGCAAATTCCTCTGTTAAGTACCCCTATCGTAGAATATTCACATTTTAATTTGAAAAATAAACAAAATAATACGTTTGTTTCTAGGTACTTCACTGTAAAATAAAATGGCTTAATTATAGGTTACGTTTGTTTCCATAGGGGTAAGTAATACATGCATATAAATATAGTTTACCCGGTGAGGACGTTGCTGCCGGTGCCGAGGTGGTCGCAGAACTTCTCCTCGATGTGCGGGAACATGAAGGGGTGGTTGCAGAGCTTGCGCAGCTGCACGATCGTGTTCATCAGCGCCTTCGCCCCGCCCTTGCCCTTGTTGCCCTTCTCCGACCCGTCCGTCAGCAGCACGCCCTTTGACTGCATGTGTCTAACAACATTACACACAAGTTTATACTTGAAAAAAATGTATATTCAAATAAAATTTAAGGATATATTTTTTTAAATAAAGGTCTAGAAAAAGATGGATAGATTGAGTGAAAGGTGACATAATCTAGACTGAAGATATATTAATCTGAAGGACGAAAACCTCGTGGGCTAATTCTACAGGAGTTCCGTCTTTATTTTTCAATAATGAATAAACTATATAAAACAATTTGTTAGTTTTAGGTAAATTGAACATTTTCCATGTTATTTTTATTTATCAGACTATTATTTTTATAACTGTCGATTTTTCATTGCATTTTACATGAAAATAAATAATAATTTAAAAATGTAACATACTTGTAGAGCACTCGCTGCAGCGCACTCATCTCGCACTTAATGATGTACTCCACCTTGTCGGGCAGCTGGCTCTCCACCTCCTTCTTCAGGCGGCGCAGCAAGAACGGACGCAGCACTTTGTGCAGACGTCGGATAATCAAAATTGTTTCTTCTTCATTCAATTCCACCTACGATAACAATAATTATAACATATTCTATAAAAAACATACATTTTATTTTCGAAATGTATTTTAGAAAATAATGTTGGAAAATGCTAAATTCTAAACTGCAGCACACGCTAATTATTATATTAGTCAGCTAACAACTTGACTCAAGACTGTAACACGAGTTTTTGTCAAATTTACTAAATTTACACTAAAATATACGTAATTGTATAGATATTTCACCTTCTCTCCGGTGGTGGCGAACGGTGCATTGAACCACTGCTCGAAGGTGGAGCAGCTCTTGAAGATGGAGGGCAGCAGGAAGTTGAGCAGCGCCCACAGCTCGGGCAGCTTGTTCTGCAGCGGCGTGCCGGTGAGCAGCAGGCGGTGCGGCGCGATGTAGTGCGTGTTCAGCACCTGCGTCAGCTTGCAGTGGTGGTTCTTCATGCGGTGCCCCTCGTCGATTATCATGTACTTCCACTGCACCTGCACATACACAAATAGTTAATTATATTGGCTAGCTATTAAATTCTTGTCAAATTTCATTGTGCTCGGTCAAGTCTTTTTGGAGATTACGTAGTTTAAAACATATGAATGATGTATGAACATCCAAAATGTTGAATTAAGTGTATGTATGAAGTGTGATGTTCATCTTACATAGTCGATTTGCGTCTATTATGGTCTCCAGTGAATCTGATGTTTGTTTATATCACAAGCAATATGTATTTATTAACAATTTATATTACGACTAGTCGAATTAAAAAATGGTAATATTTCGTACCTTAGCGAGCACCGCCTTGTCCTTAATGACGTACTCGTATGTGGTGAGCAGCACGTTGAATTTAGTGGACCTCATCTGCGTCTGCACGAGGCGGCGCGACTGCGGCGACCCCTTGTACGACACCACCGTCACCGTCGGCGCCCACTTCTCGAACTCCAGCACCCAGTTGGACAGCGTGCTGGACAACAAATCATCATCATCATGATCACCATCATCACCAGCTCATTATACATCTATAAACTCAGTTGGGTGCCAAATAATACATGGTTATTGGCCAGTAGAGTTGAAAGCGCAAAGTATAGATTGGGTTCTTTTAACACACGATATTTCGAAATGATTGCTTGCCGTTTTTTACACACTAACGATCGCTAAAACAACCCAATCGTGGTAAGAAACCCGTATTTGTAAATACCGCGACAGTTTAAAGTCATACAAGGTATAGATTGTCTAGATCCACTGGCGCCAATTATTATCACAATATGACAGTTGCATGCCAGTTCAGTTAAGCGCTACAATGCAATTGTACTGACCAAGTGTGAACCGGCCGTTCAACTGCAGTAATATTTGTATACAATATCGTCGGAGATTTAGAGGTTACTTGATTTTTAATTGGCACATCCTGTGTTCAAATCTCGCAAACTTTTGAATGACAGTCGAAAAGCAGTTATTAATCTAGCATCGCATTGGGAATCAATTTCTAACTTAATTAGTCAATAAATCTATATGACCTTTTGTTTTTGATACATTTAAGTTTTTAACAACAAAAAAAAATGAGTTAAATATTTGTTATTTATGATATTTATTGCAATACCTGAGTGGCACAATAATGAGGAATGGGCCATTGACTTTCTTCTTCTCCATCAGATAGGTGACCAAAGCGATCGTCTGTATGGTCTTGCCGAGACCCATCTCGTCAGCCAGGATACCATTCAGATTATTATTGAAGAGAGAAACGAGCCACTCCAAACCCTGTGGAAAGCAAATTTCTAATATCTCATATTTTTTATATTAAACTTAGGTAACATTAGACAAAAACCAAAATTCAGATTCAGAGTCATTTTTTTATCTTTTTATGTAGTAAATTTCTAAAGTTTTACCTTTATCTGATACTCCTTCAATTTTCCATTTACTAATATATTAGCCTGCTCTGTCACCGATTCATGGACTGTATGAGCAATGCTGTAAAAAAAAGTCAAGATTTAAATTTCCCTTCAAAAGATTACTTAGAAATTACGTCTCAATTCAGACAGATAAGTCAACTATATACCTGTAATATGTTTGTTCTTCTGTCTTGTACTCGTCATCCTCTACCTTCGCCTTCTTTATCATGTCACGTGCTTTCTCTTCATCCGTCTTCTCTTTATCGCTCTTCTCGTCCTTATGCTTATCCCTCCTTCCTCTCTTTTCTGTACAAAGTTACAATTAATAACCACTAAATATTTAATTTGCATAAATAAACAAGAAGCATTCGCCATTAAATGAATAAATACACATATTTATGCTAACTGCATATTTACAAATATTATAAAGAGAAAGTTTTGGATTTTTGTCTGTATTGAATTAACTCAAAAACTAATGGGCCGATTATAAAAATTCTTACACCATTAAAAAGCTACGTTACCAGTAACATAGACCATATTTTTAATTACTTTTAATACTTATTATAAAGAGGAAATATTTTTGTTTGTATTACAATAATTCAAAAATAATTAGTCCGATTTTAAAAATTCTTACATCTACAAGCTACGTTATCGCTAAGTAACGTAGGCTACATTTATTTTACGATTTTACGACATCGCGAGCTACAGCTAGTGTAATACATAATGTATCTTAAGGTAAATACCATCATCATCCTGGCTGTCGTCTCCGGAGTCCTCGGAGTCCGACATGACCTCCCAGCCGGGGTGCGCCTCCATCCAGTCCTTCAGTTGCGACAGCAATGGCGCCTCTTCGCCTTTCAGTATCTAAACAAAGACGTATATCAACGTTTATTTAGATTTGAGCTTGCTTTTATGGTTATTTTCAATATTTGTCTTAGATTTGAGCTTGATTTTATGTTTTTTTTAAATATTTGTTTTTAAATGCGTGTTCTTAGTTTAATTTTAATTAGTAAATTTTAAATTTATATTTTCAGTGTTTTTTGGTGCTTATAAGTGTTGTAATGTTTCGAATGGAATCAATGAGTATTAATGATTACTTAGGTTATATATTTATGAGTGAATAAGGCATGTAAAATACTGACAGATGACGAAGAAATTTCTAAAGAATATTGGTTGTATAAGCTTAAAAAGAAATTCTCACCTCTCCTGTCTTGGGGTCGAGTACACTGACGCGCGTGTCGGAGGTCTGCGAGCTGTCGTCCAGCGCGTCTATCTCGCCGCCCTCCAGCAACTTCTTCTTTCTCGACTTCTAAATATACAGAAGAAAACAAATATTTTATTAAAATGTAATTATTTAGTCTACAATAGAAGTATCAACATTAAACATTATGAAGCGGTCACATTGGAAACAGAAGGTCTATCACAGGTATTTGCGTGAAAGTTGAGAGAACATTTTCTTAATATGATTGACTGGCTGTTGCTTGTTTCGGCTCGGAAATAAAAAAAATAATAAACATAGCCATACTATAGTCAGTGATAAAGTAGATATTTACTGACGAAAGAAAATTTTAAAATCGGGCTGGTAGTTTTTATGTGAATCGAATACATACAAAAATACAAATCTTTCCTTTTTATAATAATAGTATAGATTATAAAGTATAGATAACATTTTTACAAGATTTGGTATAGCTTAGGCTAGGTAAGGGCGCTGCACAGATGTAATATAAATTTTGTCGAGGACATTACGACAACGTTCTCACGAATATTTGAGGAAAACCCTCAGATGAAAAAATCAGTAACAACACAGAAGTTAGAAGGTAATTACCCTCTTCCTTCTTTCTTCCTCTTGCTGCTTCTTGCGCTGCTCCTGCTTGTGCTGCTTCACCATCTCCGTGAGGCTCGCGATGTACTCGTCCGTCTGCGACAGCAGGAACGCCAGCCGCTTGTCTTTCTTTTGATCGATCAGTTTACGATAACCTTCTTCATCCTCCGCCATCAAACTATAAACATACATTAAATTAATTACATAAATACGTATGTATCATTGGAACTTACAAAACCTCAAGTTATCTGGATGTAAGTTGCGATGCTTTATTTATTGCACAATTTGTAAGTAAGACATATTTTTATTTTTACAGGTATTTCGCAAAACAACAAAAGGAATTGCAACTATTGGCTTAATTTCATAATCATTATAGTACTATTTTCATTTATTTCAATTAAAAATAACAATTTGTATCAATAAGTCCTAGAAATATAAGTAGTGTCATCTCCATAACTGGTTACGGCAGACCAGCACATGTGCTGAGTGGTTGTTTAAAATAAGAGTTTAATGTACCGTCTCATTCTCTCCTTCTCTATCCTCTCCTGCTCCTTCTTCTGCTCTCGCTCAGCGTTGGCGTGGTAGTTCATGATGGCCTTGTTCATACGCGCCAACTTCGCGACGTTATTGCGATGGTACTCCTTGAAGTCCTTAGCTGTAGGAAATACACTTTATAAATATCGTTTTAACAAACCATGCTGAGATATTGAAAATTTGTGCTAATTGTTTTTTTTTAAATAACGTAAATTATTAACACAAATACTAGACATAAGTTATTTATATCTATACTATTAATATAAAGAGGAAAGATTTGTATTTTTATAAGTATTGAAATACCTACAAAACTACTAAACCGATTTCAAAGATTCTTGGACCATTTAAAAGCCATGACATCACTATAGGGTATATTTTATATTTTTTTAATTTCACGCGGACGATGTCGCGAGCAACAACTAGTGTTTGAAATATGCCTCGCACTTTACTTCTAGAATAATCTAGTAAATTTTATAGTGATTTAATAATTGAAGAATATTTGACTATGGTGACAACATACCATGTTGCAACACTGTCTGCAGGAATTCTTGATGCTTCTGCCTACGCTTCCTCTCCGCCTCCAGCTTCTGCTGCTTCTCCAGCTTCTCTGTAGCTCGAGCTTCGCGCAGTCCTTGACGCTTCGTGCGCTTGTACGCCTTTATGTTCACTGCCGTCTCTAGTGTTGTGTCACGACGGACTTGGCTGAGGATCTGATATTAATGTTGTTATTTATTTATCGTATTAGCATGACCGGCATTAACAGCCATCGGTGGGGTATCGTTTTGACAAAAAGGGGCGATACATTACTGCTAATACTCTCACGTAACACTGTTAACCTCGCAGTGACGTCATAGCAATCTCGCCCAGGGCGTTACTAGAGCTAAAACTATCCCTAGTGCCATTACAATTATACTGAAGGGACTTAAATTGATTACTGTTTATGGTTAAGTAATAAACAACAAAATAAACCAAAACATAATGATTAAATCCTCAGGAACAGGCAAGTTTTAGTGATAAAGTAATTTAGACGTCTATGTATTGAAGTAGCTTGCATGTTTAATCTGTAAGATAAGTTCTTGCATAATATACAAACCTCAGCACGTAATTGCTTCTGGAAGTTGAGAACGCGAAGTGCTCGCAACTCAATCTGTGCCTGCAGCCGCAAGTCGTCGGCCATGTTGGCGGGCAAGTTCGACAGCACGTCGATACGGTGAGCGATGCGCGCCGCGATCCTGAACATATCATGATTAAAAAAAAGAATTATCAAAATCGGTCCACTAGCGGCGGAGTTATGCATACACACATATACACACATAAAAAAACAGACGAATTGATTACCTCCTATTGGGAAGTCGGTCATAAATAAACTGATATGACGTCTAACTTAATCACGGTAGAAATTAACTAAATGCCATTGATGCCACTCAAGCCCTTTTTATAACAATATAATGTACATCCTAGACTTTAAAAATAAAAACCCATAAAATCCATTCTAAAACCCTCGAATTCTAAAATTACAATTTCTTTATCTACACTAATATTTTAAAGAAGAAAGATTGGTATTTTTGTATATATTGAAATAACTCAAAAGCAAAGTCGGGAGCAACAGCTATCAATGATATTCTTACCGGTTTTCTCTTTCATTTAGAATTTGAATAGGATCGATGCCCACTGGCTTGGGAATGCTGGT